TATGAAAACGAGCTATAATAATGATGACGAAAAAAGCCAGTTGGTATTCGAACAATGTATTTTCCTTGCTAAATCTTAAAACCACACATAATCCCAAACTTTCATCTTTCTTTTTTAACCATCTTCATTCAGATAGTTCCTTGTCCTTTTATCGCTATACTGTGGCTTGTTTTCTTTGACCTCATGAAGTGTACTTGCTTGGAAACTGACTTATTAAAAAAGAACGAGTCTAAGAAGTCATACTCTAATTGTGCGTTCATAAATGACTAGATTTCACTAGTCACGACTACTTTCTGTACTGCTTCTCAACCATCTATTGCGTTTGTTTAACTGTAACGAAACTCGATTCACGAATCATGAGTCCTACCAGGTAGGAATATTTTAAGCTTGATGGATAATTTGGCTAGCACTCAGTATTAATTTACTATCTTAACTCATTATGTCTGCACTCCATGACAGCTTCAAACATATTCTGTTAGGTCGGTTAGTAAACCATTGACGTAATGGACGCTGAATTATTGATTTAAGACAACAATAGTAACCCGAAAACACGGGAACTAGAGCCCAATCAATATACACCACTATCCTTGAAAGAAGAGAGTATCAAAGCCTGGATACTCGTGTGAAATCTCCGCATCACATGTATATCGATGTGGAATGTTTTCCCAATCCATGTGACAAACGCTTGTAGTGTAAATAGTTTTAAAATTATGCATAAAAACATATATACGGTCAAAGAAAATCCTTCGTCGCCTGACATTGCGATTTAATAGTTACGTAACCAAACGAAAACGTCCATATGTTTGAAGCAACTTCCATATTATTAGAGAGACCGATCCTCATTTTGGACAAACTCATATAGCATGCAACAAAAGAACCCATTTTGCTTTTCTAATGACTGTGTTCTTTCTATAAGAAGTTGTATACTTCAGCACATAGTCCTCTCATATGTATGTCATTGTAATCCTGCTGTCATGCATTATGCATGTGCCTGAGTGTATCTGTACAATTATTATTTAATCCAATCACTATCATCCTGTTGTAGTCACAATCATTTTTTAGAGTTTCATTAACTATCGCAATCAGTGAAATGTTAAGTGGGCACATGCCCTTTTCGAAATGAACGTATTGACTGCAACACACGAAACCCACGTAATCGTTTCCTCAAGTCCGCGAGTTTATTGACGGGATTTGTTAGCACAAAATAAATGATACGAACAGGGTCTACATTCCATCCGCATGATAATTTATTTGTTAATATCGAAATTAGACAACAGTCATCTTTATGCTAAGTCCTTCTGCATTATCATGATACCAAGTCTTCCATCTCTTAAATAATCTGTAAGTGAATTTTTGTTTCACGTATACTGAGAAAAATCCAAACAGTTTAAAATCATTACACGTGCTTCTTATTTCATTACTCTTAAGTTTTCAGATTATCAAAGTTAATACTCTGATCCTACGCAATGACCAGACTTCCATTCTAAATGAGGTATTGTATCATTCGCTTTATTTCTTTTTATTATCAACCCATCACACCTTATTTATTCCCCTCTAATTTTATCCATTTCATTATTATTTTGTGCTCATTTACATACTTATTTGGCTTAGCCTTTAATTTTAACCTCCTGCCTCCCTGCATTCTGCTGTTTTCTAACTTTCCAATTGTTGTAACGGGTGTGACTGCAGGTTTTAGGTACGCATCGTTATATCGATCGCTTCTGTGACAGTGACCCGTGACACGTAAACATGTAAGGATGGCCTAGTGCCCTGATTGGCCCTGCCTCGCTGTCTGTTCCCAGCCAGTTGAGTCAAGAACAAAAGTCATAGCCTCGGAGTTATGAATCATTATATTTCAAACATACATTGTTTATATACCAATCAAGCATACCACATCGTACCATAAAATATGAAACAACATTTACAAAATATTTAACAAGTGAAGTAAACATCGACCAATAGGAAATGTACATTTAAAGTCCAAGGACACCATTGGACTTAACATCATAATTATTGGTCTATTTTTCCGACTACCTAACACCAATCCGAACATAAATGACCAGACGACTGTGTGGCAGCAAGATTTTTCTAGTCACTCCAGACTTACTTCTCCGAAACAAGTAAATCCACGGAAATCGAGAAAGGTTGATAAAGTCAGACTAGAAATAAACAATGTTGACCCACATTCTGTCGAAATGTTAACCAGAAGTTCAGCACAACAAAATGATACACTAGAAAATCAAACCAAACAGAACAATGAAAGCAGATATTAGACTGAGAAAGTTATATGCCACTATTCAAAGGAAAAATAATGCAGTAAAACGTGTTTATTTACTCTGAAATGGACTACTTTTTCACAAGTACTGTTGAAGGACATTTAGTGAGTCAGTGATTACTGTCGTGTGACCAAACAACCCTCATCAGAATCAACCCTTAACACTAAGGTCCATGATCAAATAAATCGAATGGTTTACAATAGTTCTTCAAAGATGTTTAGATTGTAGCGGTAAATAAATCCCCAAAATAAATAGCTATGTAAGTCGTTGACATTGGATGCTCACCTCATTAGTTTTAATGGACTTACCTTGCTGAAGGCACTTGGTCACACATCCGCACAAGATCACGAGTGTGAAAACCGTGCTCAACTTCCCCTACAGTCGTAAGCCAGGCTAGATCAATCGATAATCAATATACTGATACTCTACAAAATATGCCTTAAAAACCTCTTGCTTCCGGCATTTGATCTTACTAGATGGGCACGATTCATAGTAGAAGGTGTTACTGATTAAAGCGTTGTCAAACTCCAAATACCTACGGCATCTTCAAGATTATGGGTTTCACAAGGTATTTCCTATAGCTAAAAGTCACTCAATAAGTATGTTTCCGCTTATACTGATGTCGTGAATGTCACTTCAAAAAAGCACATAACTCGGACGAAGCAATGATGACTAGTTTTGTTTAAGTAAATGAATGGTTAGTTGCATGTAATCTATGTATAAGCGGGCATTATATACCAAGTACATGTAATACATTCGGAATGTTGTTCTACTAACTCGAAGTTTCAATTTTCAGATTGTTTTGGCTTTTCGCTTGTGTCTTTGTTTTTCGTTAACATTTGCTGTTCTTCTAAACATAATTACATCTCATGTTCCCTCTGGATTTTCAGTTCTTTTTACCATTCTTTCTTTCAGATTTCCTCACCTAAAGTATCCTCATACGTGACGCAAACCATTTTATAATGCTATTTTGTTGAGAAACTTGCTTACAAAGAAACTAGAGTCGCTTGTTCGAATTTCACACCTCAGTCATCAGATGTTTTACATCAGTTAAACTTATGCTATTAGTATCTTTCTATGTTTTCCCTATTAGTTTTCACAAAATAAGCTCCCACAGAATTTCATTGAAGACTACACTATGATATGTAGACGACAAATGAGGTTTAAGATATCGTCTGCTAGGTATTGACGTAAATTTACATCAATACCTAAGTCCATTTTTCCATATTTTTATATGTACATGATTTCTGTTTCATGGAGAATATAAGTTCAGTATTAGTGTGAAATAACTTTTAAACGCTGGCGAATAATGAACTTTTAATCACAGTGTGTCTGTGAAAGGGCTAATCGTCATCGTACATTAGATAGGCTATTATTCATTTACATGCATTCGATGGTATATGAAGTATGCTAGACCATCCTCTTTATTTTTTTAGATATTTATAAAACGCTGAACTTTTTTATCGCTCCTTATTATTCTGTATATAATGACGCCATCTGTAAACAACGAGACCGATTATAAAAGAAAACTAAACAAATTATTCACATACAGGGGAGAATGACATTGGTCCTAAAACACTCACATGGAGAAGAAAACCAACCGAAGTCTTCTTCCTAGACAAGTCTTATTTGGCCGGTATTCTTTGTGTGTGTCAAACCTTAAAGTTTATATCTATGCAAGACCACTTGACACCGAGATCCGTCCATTTGAACGACAGCCTAGTGTGTAGGTCTCTAATAGGCCTTATCAAAAGAGACATCCACAAGCAGCTTAGAATTTACCAAGTTTTCATTTAAGATCTCAAAAGTAGCCTTTAAACGCTTAACAATCAAAAACTGTGCACTAGACATACTACAAATTTCGACGTCGATCTATTTATTTTTTGTTAAATATTCCTTGAATTTGCAAATGCTAGAAAGCTTGATAAATATCTTAACCAAAGATGAATTTTTCTGCGCAAGTAGTGGTTATTCATGATGTTACGTTCCATGAAGTTGAAAATTATGGATATTGTTTAGGTGCTTCCATCTCTAAGGTATTTCGAATGAGGTAAATTTAATACTTGGGAGAGAAAACTGAGGATGGGATTAGACAATTTAAGCAAAAGACAGGTCATTTTATGATGCTACAGGTCTTTGGATTCTGAGTCTCCTATGTCATTTACCAACTATTTCAAATAAATCTTAATCCCTCTGTATGTGTGTGAAAAGTGATAAAAGACAAAACTAAGACAGTATTTAGTGTTAACTGGTCAGATGACTCACTTCTATTCTAGACTATCATGGGCAGTACAAACCCTATAACCAAGTTCATTGGTTTTGGCATCAGTGAACAACATTAGTCTGTATTCTCAGAAACGTCTTATTTATTACTACAACTATGAATCCAATTTCTTTTTCGTTTGTACAGTCATTATAAACCGAAGCTGTCAGATATAAAAGCCTCTATGTTTGTTTATCAATGCACTTATACATATACATGTAAGTGATTACTGAGAACAACATGAACCTTTGTAATGTCCCATTTCACCTTAAGTTTTCAGTTACAAATGCGGTAATTACTTACTTTTACGGTATGCTTCTTGATGAGGATACAATAAATTAGTTCTATGTTTTGTCTCGTTAGGTCAAAATGATCATAAATGTGCGGTAAAATTACACTCCTCACATAAATTTGGACTGAGTTTTGAGAAATATAATTAGTTTTCTGATAATGTAGTTCGTACAAACCGTTCTAGAGTACATGGTTAATTCTGGTAAGTAGTTAAACGGGTGAGCTCCCTATGTGTTAAATATATTTTAAAATTTTTAATTTTTGATCTCTGCCTTAGTATATTAAACAAAAGCACTTAAAGCAACATAAAACGCTTTTATTTCTGTCTTTTGTAGTTTGATAGCTTTTGAAGAACAAGTAGCAATAAACACAACCCTGAAAGTCTAATGTCCGAAGCCCAGGTTATGTTTGTTAAATAACTTTGTCTTTTCGACGATGTTTTATGCTTTTTATTTGTTTCTTAATAATGTTATTTTTGTAAGGAAAGTTTCTAGGAAAATACACCACAAACCAATTATTCATTTCTTGTATAACTGTGAATAAACTTGCATGATTTTTCGGCAATTTATTGCTCTATCAAAAGAGACAATATCTTGTTTTAAAGCAAATACCTAAAATGTGGTTAAATCGTTTTCTATTCCGTTTATTATAGCTATGTAGTATGCAATATTAGTAAATGTTGGTGCAAAATAGTTGATATCTATAGTTCTTATATTGGTAAAACTCAGGAAAAAAAATCATAGTGACTGTATATTTAAAATAATTTAGCTTAAATTATGAAAATAAAGGTTTCTTCCACCACCATCCTTGAGAATGTTGAAAATTACAAATATGTTGGAACTGATTACTGTTCTAGCTAATTTCTTTTCACCAGTCTAGATACGCTGGTCTGAGTTCATCAATATGTATCGAAAAATAGTCGCTTATTAATAAATCTGTCAAACCTCTTAAGCCATTAACAAGACAAATTTTTTGACAGTAAACATTTTGAACATCGACTTTTATTATTATTTCTAATGCTCCCTCCACTTTAATTAGACTTTTAAAATTAAAACATGAAGTTCAGCGAAGGGATCTCTTTTCAAGGAATTTATTATCAAGCTGTACAATCGTATATATATGAAAATTTTGTTTTTGTAAAAGTACTGATTCCGGTAGGAAATGTAAACACAGTTAATAAAAATGGTTATAATACTAGATTACGTAAGACAAATAATAGCAATAGATTTAGTGAATATAATAAGATGATTAAACTGTTTTTTCATAATAATTAAAGGTCATGGAGGTGTAAAAAATAATAAGGTGATATGTTGGGCATTTACGAATAAAACAATGAGAATATAGGGCATAAGTAAAGGGGGACTGCAGTAATAATAATAATAGGATAATCAAAATAATTAAGGCCAAGGTAACGATAACGATAAGACGTATTTCTTTTAGGCGCATAGTTCTGGTTTAAGCTCCTGGATGGTAAGAGCTTCGGCTATTTTTAAAAGTTTGATACGAAGAAATCTGGGTAAATTTGAACAAATCATATAAACAAACTTAAAATCAATTTGTGGATCTGTAAAATGGTTATAGTCGATTAGTTGTTCAAGTATAGAACTCCTCACTGCTTTCCTTTCACCCTTATAGAACCAAGCTGGGATATGTTCCCGTATCCGAATTGAAAGCGAGCGCTGGCTACGGCCAATGTACCTTGCTCCACAAGAGCCGGTGAACTGGTAGATGCACATGGAGACGACCAGATGCGGAAGCTTATCTTTTATGGATACAGAAAATAAGTTCCTACTAGTGAAGGTTATTCGCAGTATAGCCGCGTTAAATATTCTTCTAATGGTTGTTGTTAGACGATTTTTGATAACGTCTGATGTTTGATCACCTTCAGATTCCAGACTTACATAAAGGCTTTTCTTCGGAACGGAACAACTAGATTTCTTGTTGTAACTACTTCTATTCATATTCTTTTATATGAACCGTTCCGAGTAACCATTTTCTGTCAGAGTTTTCTTGAGGAATGCAAGTTCTTCGTTGATGCATTCCATACTGCATATCTGATGTATTCGATAACATGAAGAATGGATGAGGTTTCTCTTCCTACTTAACGGAACCCAGCTATAGAAGTTGGTTAGCTGGCCATTTCATGTTTGTTTTCTAAAGATGGATCTTTTTAAAGAACCATTACTCTTTCTCATCAGACGTACATCGAGAAAAGGAATTAATTGGTCTCGTTCCCTTTCTAATATATTTCGCTGAACTTCGTGTCTTAATTTTAAACTTTTAAAATTACAAAACAAACCCATAGACAAGTACTTACTAAGAATTGTATACGCGAAAAATGTTTCTGAAAAAAGTAATATGTTAAAAAATATATGAAGGTCGTGAGCATCCCACTGTATACTACACTACTGTTTCATTTTATAATGTCGGTTTAATTCAAGTCTGCTTTTTGCCATCTTTATAGTTAAAAAAGGCAGACATTGTATGAAAATGTCAAGGTTAATTTTTTTGATTGGTCAGTTTTAAAGTATCTCGCGTCAAATATCACTAGTAGAATGCCATAAATAATCGGTTTTAGAGAAATTCCGGTAAAGCGAATGTATGAGCATTGCTTTATATACGTTTGTAGAATATTTTATTTGAGTTGCAATGGGCTACTGTCCAATAAATCTTTGTAACATTTACTCGCAAATGGGTGTCTTTGTAATAAACGAGAATACAAGTGGGAACAACCGATGCATTTTTTATACAAACTACAGAATCTTTCGGTAAAATATGATAACCATACATTAAATACTTCATTCACAAATTTAAATCACCTATCCATCATATCGTGTATGATTCTTCCGGTTCACAATTCCTTTCTATGTTCCCTTCCATTCTTTTCTACTGTATTTTCTTGGTCTTCCGCTGCCAGTTTTTTCAGTTCCGATTGTTGTTACATACTAATTATATTGTTAAACATAAGTAGCATATACCATAGTCTATATCACAAACATACTGTATTACCTTGAAGAAGTAGTCATTAGCGATCACACCATTACTATCTACTCTTTTCGTTATGGATTTCATCCTGATTTTGAAATGATTTTCTTTACCCATGACTTCAGCTGGTGAACCATTAAACTTACGATGTTTTGGCAAGTAGCCACGACTAATGGATCTCAGTTATTTCATAGATGAGAACATTATTGTTATGACTTTATGAGCCGCTTGTTTTCACGCAATCTATTCGCCAATCGAAACACGACTTATTCGCTCTTAGACTGTACTAAACCAATGACGTTCGACTGATCTGATCAGCCTAGCGCCCTAATGGTTCGTTGCTCGCCTAGCCCGTTCAGCTGAGTCCAGAATGCGAATAACAGCCCCCAATATGCGAATTATTTATTTCGGACATACTGGGTCTATATACCAAACAAACAGACCGCAACGCAACATAAAATAGGAAATAACATTTGTACATAATCAAGCCAAAAAAGTGGCTGTGAACGTGGGAGTCAGTAGTCAATAAACTGAACATAACTTAAGAACAGTAAACCTTACAATAATAGTATATATGTCAAGACAAAGCTTATAACAAGGGGAATAAATATATACATAACCTAGTTATTGAATATTTATACCGTAAGAATATATAAATAATATTAGTCCATTAATAGGTCTAAGACTTTACTCCTAATGTAATCTTCACTAGGATATAACAGTTGTCATCTATGAAAATGAACGGTCGTTTTGATGTCACAAAAAAGCGTAATTCAGAAATTGAATCACCGGGACTCAAATCATTGACCTAAAGATAACGCGTTCAACGCAATAAATGAAGGTTTTCAATTCAGTCTTTCACACAGTCGTGTTTGAATACTGATGAAAAGTTATGCAAACAACTGTTTAGGAACCCTTGTCTCTCAACAGGTTCTTAGCTTGAACTAGTCTGTGATAAAAGTCATTCAAAAATATCTCCTCACTAACTGGATTTATTCATCATATGATTAAAAATTATACACATTCATTCATATAAACAACAACGTTGATCATTATTATGAAACATGTCACTTCTTAGGTAGTGTTACGTAGTCACCAGTTTAATTTTAACAGCGTATCAATTGGGTGGTAAACGTCTATTAATAGGTGACTATGAATTATTAATAAATTTTTTAACTGCAGACAGAGGGACTAACCTTATTTTTGCGTGACCAAGCAAATCTAAAGAATCGTGCTGTACCAGGTACGTCTCCACGCAGAGAGAAACCAAAGTGGGATTCAAAATTCAACGCGAATTTATATGCTTTTGCTTCACCTGATGACCAATTTTTGCGAACAAAACTGCATCATTACTACGAATTAAATGAAGTTAAAAGTAAAAATATTCGCGCTGAAGAATCAGTTAAACAGTCCACAAATGAATGGTTAGAAAATTATGGTTTAAAAGCGAAACGATTAACACTCGATGATTTCATTGCTATGGGTAAAATCCCAGACGGTGTAATGGAAGAATTCTCAGGTATCTTTAGACAGATTATTTCTAAATTTATTTTCAAAATAACAGCAAATTCAGATTTAACTTTGAATCATATTGTGGATGGATTCAGAAAAAATTTCCCGTCACATCTCGAATATAACTCAAAACAAGTTAATCAATTTGAATGTGGACTTCACGAATCTATCTTCACATATACTAACAGAATAAGATGGTTGATGGAGGTAACTGCCGCTTTTAAAATCTCTTTTCTTTATTTCAGAAGACTTCGAACAATCCTACGACAGTTTATATTGGTCATTTACGCAATATCTTGAAACAAAACTGACTGACCGAGGTTGTGACTTCAGATTAAATGTTGATTACTGCTATTAGTACGACCATTTACTGTGACAACGGAATAACTGCTACCTGCTACTTATTGGTTGACCAGCACATTTAAAGTGATATGCAATTTATAATTACCGTTAGGGTTATCGTAGATGCTGTTTAATAAGTGGATGGTGAACAAACCAGTTTGTGTCTACAGTCTATTTTTCTTCCTTGAGTTAAGAATTTATTCTCGTTCGTTCCGTTGAAACAAGTAACAGGTAGCAGTTATTCCGTTGTCACAGTAGACAGTTGTACCAATAGCAGTACTCAACATTTAATCTGAAGTCACAACCTTATCAAATTAGTCTCATTTCGAGTCATTACAATCCTACGATACAATGTACATTTATTTGTCAGTTTGAACAATTAACTCTAACTTTATTTCCAAATTGTTGTGTAATGCCAATAAATGTATGTCCCTTACTAGCCATATTTCACAAAAATAGCCATCTCTAGAGTTAAAGATGAAATTCACATTTGCTTTCTACCGAATGTGTGTATGAAAATGCATTAAGTAAAATTTCTCATATTTTAGGTCATTTGAAGATCTTTGCCTCCTTTAGTAAATACGCTATATCTAAAGAAGAGGGATAATATGCGATTTTCCACTTTTTAGCCAATGAAGTGCACTTGTCCTTCAGATCATCAATTGACCTTCTCGTTAGGCTACATCTGACTGGCTTATCATATCATGTCACTGACGGAAAATTTGTTAGAATGTTATCAAAACAAAATATCATATGTACATGAAGAGTATCATGTCACCTTTTTCTTTTGTGCTTTGAGAGACGACATTTGGAAGATGACGGCAGAATATTTCAAATGTTCTGTCAGCATCAGTTTTTAAACATCTCCTCAGCGCTTAAACCAGTCATAATGAGATTGGGTAAAATATCTCATCGAAACCATGATTTAGTCGATATGGTTTTGAAGCCGTTCTAATAGTAGCAATTTATGTTCATACTGTACATGCTTGATTCTTGTTCGCTTTGATACGCTATTTAGCTTCTGGCTATGAGAAACATAACAAAAGATAGATATCAGCATTATTATGTTAGGACCTTATTCCTGATTCAAAGGAGGTATGCTTTCTTTGGTGCAGTATCTACAATGCATTATTACTGATTGTTTGAAAAATATATGGTAAAGATATAAAATAATTTTATCCAGATAGATTTATGCATTCATTTACCATCTCATTACACTAGTGAATCCAAAAATAACAAAATAAGCCTGTATACTTAAAATGTTGTGCTAATCCAAACTTGCCAAATGGTAGGTTTTCCCTATCGGCCAAGTAGTGACTTTCTATATAAATATATATATATATATATATATATATATATATATATATATATATATATATATATATATATATGAGTACAAACACATATGACTCGGCTTGCGAAACAAACTTTCTTCTTTTCTGTTCTGCTTTGCAGTCAAGTAGCCAGGTTTTGTATCGGAAGTTGTGAATCAGTATCGATCCTCTGACATCGCATCATCACTTTAAATTTTTGCTTGCTCCTGCGTATTGTTTCTTGATTACATGGGACTGACTTTCAAGTCACATCCTGATCCAATCGAAAAGCATCTAAATTTTTTAAAGGAAAGTCTTTTTTATGTACGTTCTACTCAGGTTCCAAACCTGCGTTACTCAGTATCACTGTCAAAAACATGAGTGTTGAACTTTTCGTGTTGCTCTTCGAGTCAATTTATGGAAAACCTATATGTCAGTTATCTGTTTATTAACTGTTTATTTTGTAATATGTAGGATACAAGGAAAATATTTGGTTTAATTCGTGGAGAAAATATTGGTCTTCTGTTGGATAGTTCAGATGCAAACCTGGGCTTCAATAGAGATAAGCAATTTAAAGAACATTTAATGGAATTAGTCAACGAACAAATAACTGCAGACAGGCTAAAAACATTATATGTAGCTAGTTATGGAACAAATATTAATTCATTATGGCCATATCCAATGTGTGCAAATTCACGTGCTATAAATGAATTAAAGTATTTTATTAGAGAACAGTTAATACCAATGGGTGGATCGAATTTGTTGAGTGGAATAAAACATGTAAGATTTTCTTTTAAAAACACTACAGTAGTTTAAAGGTATAATTGATTTATATCCAAGCTGTGCAAAAATGGAATCACTTTGTCCAATTTGTTGATTGGCTTTTTTAGTCATGCTAACTGATTTAAACTTTTCTAACATTTTAATTAATAACTTTCAACTATATAGTTATGCTTAGGGAAGATTGATACTTTCTCTTAATACCATAACTAAGCGATAGTTGCTGAGATCGTCTTAGAGTGATGTCAGAAACTTTATTTTCTTTTGAATTTTAAAATATAACTTATCTCACAAACCTATCTACATTTAACTTTCAGCCAGTCAATTAAAAAGGTTGTTGGTTTGGAATAAACGCATCTTTTAAATAAATGGTATATAAAGGACTATATGTGTCACGTTCACTAAACGTCTTACTTATTAAATAGCAACAGTATAATCACTATTAATATAATGATTTTAATATACTAGTTTGTGAAATGGTCAAATCTTTTTGTTGATATTGGAACTGTTTTCAAATACTTATGAGAGAACTAGCTAATCTTATAAACGTCTATTTCCAAAGTACTTGTTTGACTTATTCTGCAGAATTTCATAACTTACGTCACAAATTGATAATATTTAGACAATCACTGACAACCAAACAGTACTGGACAACTGTTTCGTCTTAGTATGGGAGTTCTCAGCAGTGCTTATTCACGACCCTATCCGAGTCGAACACACGACCTTCAAGTTCCACTGTGGGAACTTAACATCTAGACTACTGAGTCTGAATTTAATATCTCACACTCCTAGCTTTAATCAACTGTCAATGTTTCACAACCATCTTCTAACCTTATTAGTAAGTAACTTAATGATGTGACCACAGGTGAATCTTGCCGGGAGCTGATTTCCGGAGTTCTAGTGTGAAGCGTTGATCAGTGGATTTAAACACCAATGACATTTAGTGATGGTTGTAAAACATCGTCAATTGATTACAGTCACGAGTGTAAACTAATAAATACAGACTCAATATTCTAAATGTTAAGTTCTCACATGGAAACCTGAACGTATTGTGTTCGATCCCGGGTAAGGTCGTGGACACTCACGTCAAGGGAGTCCCATGCTAGGACGAAACAGCTATCCAGTGCATTTCGGTTGTCAGTGGTTGCCTAACCAAGGTCAGCTTATGATGTTAACGTATTTAACTCAACAGTCTCCATAATCCCTTCACATTTTTCCTGTAGATCCAGAAGGTAATATGTTAATTTGTAAATAAAAAAGACAAATCATCTGCATATTTATACATCTGAAGTATTTCGATCCCATACACTTTATACTTTAGTGACCAATGTAACATCAGTAGGTGCAACATTTTTATTTTCTGTACCGTGTAAGTGCATTTCTTAATTCTCTACTTAATTAACGGTTGTTACTAAATGTTATGTTTTGATTAAAGAAAACACTCTCCTTCATCAAACTCGGTGGCTAATTTCAAATTAGTGATACATACTTCATTAAACACTATATATTTGCCTATATTGAATACTAATATTGAAAATGATAATCATCAGTCACTCACAAAAATGAAACGATGCATATGTATTCCAGGATTATGACTGATTGACTGACTAAAACGATGAACATCAAATATGAAATCAATTCCAATTTGGTAATCAATATATGTTCTGTATTTAATTCTGAGTTTTGAACGAAGTTCCCAGGAAACGAATATGTGTTAGGCTTTTGATCAAAATGAATATGTAGTACATGGGCATTTACATTTACATATATATGAGAAACTTTAGTATAAAAATTGACATGATTATGTAGGATTGCTCAATTTCAAATAAAATTTTCTTTATTAATAATAACACATGTTTTAGAATCGATTATTCGATAAAGTTCCGTGTTCAGAAGACACAGTCAAAACGAGTACTATATACTGTAAGGTTGACTTTATATATTCTTTTAGTACAAGAACTCATGAAAAGTAAAATAGGTATGTTTTAACTCAGTATTATTTATTTATATGATTGTTTAGATGATTATGTTTGGTAGAAAACAATTAGATGTTATCATCATAATATGTGGAAGTTATCCAGATCAACCTGCTATATTTATTCAACAATATTTAGAGCAAATATTTGCTGGTTTCACATCACCTCGACTACATTTAGTTGCTTATGATTGTCGTAATCCTGAAGTAAATCAATTGTTAGCTCAACTGGCCACAATAAAAAATGATTTCATCTACCATTGCTATTTAACTGAGAATGAATCGGCTGTGTATACAAGTGATGAAATCGCTCGTCTACTGAAAGAGATAAATGATGCACAGGTTAGTGTTAAACATTAAATTATTGTTCCTTAATTTTTTTCATTTCATAAGCTACTGGATTATAATCATAACTTAGTTTTTTTTAAAGACTGGAATTCTTTTGTTTCTGGGTATAAATGAACATCATCTAATAAGGAATATTATAATACAACACAGGTTTCGATTAATTAAGCAAGTTGTACGCTCATCATTCAAATGCCTTTTATGGTGACTACTTTTTTCTAGAACCTGTGCTGAGATTGGAGCAACAGAATGCTTGCTATCTTTTAACTTAACGCTTTGCAATGAATGATATGTTGTAGATTAGCGTGTATCTATTCATTATGACGCCTTTCAGTGTTATATAGGTCGTTAGTTCTAAAAACTATCAGATATAAGCCAAAATCAAAGTCAGTGAATATTTTTATGTTCTTAATTCAACAAACTAACGAAAAGAGGCACATATGCTACAACAACACAGATACTTATCAGAACTAATATTAGTTACACTATTTGTATGCAAATAAATCACCAAGTAATCAACGTCCTGGTTAATAGTTATCATGTATTTAAGCAAATACACTTAATCAAACGGTATCATTATTGGCCAGTGGTTTGAACTCGAAGTGAACTCTCAATAATCCATGCTGTTTGATATACAGTTATCAAAGAAAACCATTATACAAAATCTTCATTCATTTGGTCATTAACTCTAATATTCAGAATTTTTTCTTGATAATTATCGGTATAGATACTATATTTTATTCTTCCCTTTTGAAAAGCTTCAGCACTTCTGTTACGTACGAATTCTATTTTGTGGTCGTTTGCATCTATATAACTTCAGCTTGACGAACCTGCAGCCCACTGAAACTTGCCATATTCACAAAAATAAATTTAAAGCAACCATACAAAGTTATCAAGCATTACTTAAATATTGTCAGTCTACTTCAGTAAAGTAATACACGTGCAATAAAATTTCACATGTTACTTATCAATAGCAAGAAAAGGTAGCAGTCTGAGACTATTATTTAAAAACTTAATATTGTAAGACGGGTTAAATTTTAATTCTCAATGTAGTGTAACAATACTAATATCCAGAATTCTACGGTACTACAGAAAATAAGGAGTACATTTCAAGTTTAATTTCCGACCATGATCGAATTTCATTTGGTAGATGATTATACAGAGTGGTAGTTGAATTAACAGGTGTAGAATTCAATATTTCACATCTAAATTTATCACGCATTATTGCATTGTCCCGTAATCATTCTTGATTGCAAGCTTGTATAATAACATAGAACCGCTCACAAACTGTACTAGTTGTATTTTCAAGTTTCATTTTAACCAGTATCTATCTAGTTCATGTTGTGGTGTGTGCCTCTTATATAGACATAAGTATTATATGACGTTAGTCATGAACAGAATGTCTGGCAGCAGAGAGACAAGAGAATCGAACAATAAAGAATGGAAACAGAATGCAATTTGTATGAAAATGCAAGAACAATGAAATCTGAGTCATTTCGAGACAATTGATGGACATTTTGCGAATTAAGCATTTACTATATAATTGTTAGATTTTATTAACAAGTCCTGTAATGTTGTGTTAAATACATTCGACTGTCCCCTCTGGTGTTCTTGTTCACTGCAATGTCACCACAAAGAACCAGTTTCAGTTGTATTGAGGATAGAGCGGTAATCTTATTGTTGTTTTTATAATAAAATCATACTTTTCTTACTTTATTTCTTCCTAGAAAGTTCTTGAAGTTGTTGGTCATCTAAGACAAGAAATGGAGAGCTCATCTACGATTGCTCAGCAAGCTATAGATGAAGTGAATATGGTATCCAATGCAATGTGTAATTCACCAGTATACTACCTACCTCAACCGACTGATACAAGTTTACTGCATGGAAAACTTCAGTTGGATCATTTGCATAGGTATGTATTCACTAAATATCAAAAATTCGTAAACAGATCCTTTACTTTATTCCAGACAATGTTGTAGACAATGGAAACCTTTCCAACCAACTTCTTCTCAAGTTTGGTTACATAAACATGGGTTGAAAGCTCGTAAACTAAATTTATTTCAGGTAAGCTGTTTTTCAATTTGTAGATATTTAGTTTACTAGATCTGTACGGGGATGATGTGACTAGTTACTTACGTAAACGTCCGTTAAATTCACACCGTGCGGCAATTTCTTAGCACGACCTACTGTAATGTGGTAACTAGGCTTCCTACCTCGAGACAAAATCTTACCACATGAACATTTTATAAAGCCACGAAAGGGGTAGAATTGTTCAAGAAGAAACTGAATGCAGCGTGTGTCACTTAAATCATATAGAATAATTAATCAGCGTTAGTCATTCCTGACCTTGATGATATTCGTTAGGCAGTCCAGCGTCTAGTAATCAGTCCTCTAACATAGAAATGGTTAGTTCGATGAATAGTTCGCTTTGGGCTCTGTTATATTTTACTTTATCCACAAATCTATCATATTACGAATCTTATAATACATAGTACTTTTATTTCACGGCTTGATGTTAATAAAGCAGATAAGTCTTTACTACCTATCTTGACTACAATGAGCATCAAATTAAATCGCTTATTAAGGATTATTCAGGTTCTTTCAATTGCGGTCACCTCCGAAAATAGTCATAGCAAAAAGATGAATTTTAATCTCAGTAAATTTGATGAGTGTATCCTATGAATATCTGACATTTTCAAGTCATTATTCAAACATTTTCAATATGATCTTAAAATGTATCTTATTTGTTACATTTTAATCATTAGATATTGGCACCAAATGCATATTCACAAGTTGTTGGTTATGTCCCATCAATTCAACGCTCTGTTAGTGCTCAAATACATGAAAAGTGCATGGTTCAAGTTAGGTGGCTTGATGGATCAATTAAAAATGTCCATGTTGATCCTAATGAATTATATAAATACCAAACACAGATAACAAATTTGGTAAGTAATGAAAACTGCTCCATTTTGTGTGCAGGGATAACACAAATAAACCTATAATCTGATTTCAGTCACTTTAATCTAAGCCAACTCTTAATTATATATCATATCATTATAAATTTCTCACCATACTTGTTTTTTTTTCAATGTAAACAAAAAGTTGATGCGACATTCAGGAACATTCAATTGGAATAAAATGTATCACAGAAAAGCAACTATAGTTTCGAAATTGATTTACAAATAGGTACTGCAATTTGAATTTTTCGTCAGATATCAGAGAGGAGTTAACAGTAACATGCAAGACATCTTTAAATCATTAACTCGGAGTTCAATATGTCATATTTCTAACTCCACTTACCTCGTTATGCAACGCGATTTCCAACCTGAATTATTGTTGAGTTACTGTCCTACTCCCAACATGACTGATTCTACTACTAATCATTTCCTAACGAATTATCAAGAAATTCATATTGAAGCTGTTCGCTTGTCAGCCGATGTAATTATTAACAGGATGGTAACTTGGTCACATCATGCATATATAAAGTAGTTAAGGATAGTGTTCATAGAATGGCCTAAATTTATTTACATAATAAAGAAAATAAAATGACTTAAGCTACTTTTAATAAAGAAATTTATTAAAAATCACGAAAAGTAGTTGATTGGTTACGATTATTTAAACATACTGCCTAAAAATAACGTTCAGACTGTCACACTATATGACCTGCTTTTAAATTTCTGAGATTGGGATCTCTTGATGAATGAAAATACAAATTCCTAGTGAATATCAGGAAACACAAGATCTGTATTATGGTTACTTATTGACTAACCATCAAAAATGAATAATGATTGGTTTCGATATTCTGTGACTCACGAATTTAATGTACAATATTTTATCATTTTATCGCAAGTCTACTATACTACGTTAAACACCAATCAATTAAATTAGACTCATGACAAATTCTATTTGGATTTTTGTTTTTGAGCATTACTTTCCTAATATATTGTATCCAATGAACACTTTTGATATATTAAAACAATTTAAAACAATTAATCCCTTTTATAAATTTCGATAATGCATTGAGAAGATGAAGGTTATATAATTGCGCAATACATTTCGAACAATTTGATCACACATATACTTGTCAAGAACATTTTAATATGAAAAACAAAAGGTCAAGTAGACAAATTAAAAGGTAAGCGGAAACAAAAAACAATAAAGTACATACAAACAACGTGAAAACCATGCTGGATAACAAATAATCATTAATCACTACGATTAAACATTTACTGTGAAATATTCACATTTTACACCGATCATTAGAAAAATTCAAAGCCGAATGATCGATATTATATTAATTCCTATTTAGGTAGATTCATTAAATATACATAAACCTCATTTATATTATCTCCCTTATTCGTTTTGTTTTTATTAATTTTAACTAAGGTTGGATTATTAGAAAAACGAATTCATTGGTTAACTCAAAAAAGTCGTGGATACTTTGGCACCCTTATAGAACCGAACGTAATAATTTTAATTGATTTATCAGGGTATAATACTATCTATATGGTTCATATACACTATTGTCTACGTCATTTACTCGAAGAACAAATTTCAACAAAATCCAAATTTAATTTAATGATATTTGGTTCGGATTCTAAGGCTTATCAGTCGAATTTAATTGATGTGAATGCTAATAATTTACAAGCTTCATGGGATTGGTTTAAAACGCACAATTGCAGTGGCAGTCGTAATTTATTAAGTGCTTTGAGGTTGGTTTGTATATACAATTCGGATATAATTAATGCATAATTAAACAAAAAACGTTTTTATTTTCTAGTGAAAATTATACTCGTTGAAGATGAATTTCGTCACTAATTGATTTCAGCTGAATAACCGTTGGAAACCGGAGAACATTAGACAGTCGTACAGCCTGGTATATAGCTACGCATCCGGGGTTCACTTAAACACACTGGGGATATGAATTAGTATCTTTGGTTTTCATAACTTGCACGTTAGTAAGTCGGAATTCAATACTCCACACCATCTTTGCTCAATATTATCGATGCTGAATAAGCACGTTACCCTTTCCTGACTGGTTCAAGAGAACTACCTTGTAGAATTCATCATTGTTTTTAACGATATTTTATTAATAATGATCGATCCCATCTGATCTACTACAGTCAGAATCAAGGAACAAAAGTTTATAATCATTATCGTCTGCTGAGGAATTTCTGCATGTGTTCATTCCTATGTTGATTAGTAGCTGTTATCTAATTAGATTAATCTTCACTGAGAGTTGTTTATTGTTTATTAGTACGGATTGTGATCACCCCAAAAAAGGTTTCTTACCATTTTAAACATGTTCTGTTGATGGACACAATCTGGCGATATTTTATCCATCACTCGAAGTTGATGAAAATGAGTTTATATCTACCAACACGAATAAAGTAAAATAAAGGGTAAAAAGAGAATTCATAAGCTCAATAACTGGCACAATCTGACTACATTATTGAATTAAATGCTCAATTTAGAACTTGATAAGTAGTATACCCATCTTATCTACAGTCATCTATTTTTAGAGATGCGGTTACATTGTTTATCATTCTTTGCCAGAACAAGTGATTTCTAGACACCCATTTAACCAATGACGCACAAAAATTTAAATAGTAATGAGTTATATAAAACACACATTTATTATTTTTTTTTAACGAATGACAAATATTCGTGAAAGTATGAAACAAAACGTTCAGGTGATTCCTTTGCGGGCTCTATCACAACAGAGTAATGTTTCATAAGAATATTCGTCAAGATTAAAAAAAAATAGGTTTATTAAAATTAGGTGCCGAGAATATTAATTCGTAAAAATTATATTTGAAGTAACCTCAGAGATTGATATTGAAATAATTACAACGTTTAGTCCAGCAAACGTGTCTGAACGAAATTTCAATCACTGAAATTACTTCAAATATAAATTTCACTAAGTAATGCTTTTATGAGTATACCAAATAGCCGCTCTCCAATGAGGCGGAACCTGTTTTCATTAAGAAACTGAAATAAATTCATCCATAAATACAGGATCGAAGTTCCAAATCCAGTTCAGTAAATTTCTACTAACTGAACCCGGACGTTTGATATGAAACAAAGTCGAACGCACTATCAAAGAACTTAGTTAATATGGTATTATTATTTTTCGAAAAACTTCAGTCAACACTAAAACATCACTTCAGTTAACATCTGTAGATCATTTGGTATGTGTAGCCCGGTTGCTTGGTAGAGTCAACATCCAGGAATACCATGATAGCTAGCATGGAGGAAAATTGGAAAGTAAGCCAGAGATATTTATTGTTTTATTTAACTGTATCAAGGACGTAGTTTGATCGAAATAACATAGCAACATATTCTCTGTTTTTGTGATAGAAATAATACTTATTCTGTTTTACTAATAATGTAGATAACTAGTTTTAGCCGTATCATTATATCATCGTTTTGTCGAATTCCATCATCATTTATGTCTAGAGTAGCTAATAAAATAACCCTTTTATTTGTTATTTTTTATTGTTATTGTTGTATTCGTAGATTAGTGTTTGAAAGTCAGTCAGAAAAAGATTTGTTTGAATCACATTTAGGAATTTATATATTTACATCAGGTATACCTGATCAGGATAGTGAAGTGATTTCATCTTATTTGGAAGCTAAACGTTGTACGTTTTTAAATACCCATGTACATGTGGCATTATACCATGTGGACAATACCATTACAGATAAACACTTTCCATGTCGTTATGCAAACATTACAGAAACTGCAAATTCTTTACGGTAAATCGGAGATTAATGCCGTTTAATATGTTGTTAACTTGTTATTCTATGTAACTTTAACTCCCATATAGGAAGGTCAATAGAGGGATAATTGAAACTTTCTTCATTTTTAAGTAAAACGCCTGAAGGTTATTTTAATCTCAAACTAAAATTATCCGGATAATCATTATTAATAAAACGGTTAAACCATTTTGGTTTATGATTTCTTAGGAGTGCCTGGTCCTACGTTGTAGCTGACTGACTGACTGACTGAGGAGTGAACACCATTGAGCACAGAGGGCAGTCAATGCAAAATCATCAGTTTTCTTGATTAGCTAGATACCTTTAAACCACTGACTCAGAAATCCATAATGCATAATCTTTATCTTATTACATCAGTGACTGCCTCACTAACAAGTTAAATAATCCAACAAGTTAATTATTTTCACTAGAACTTCAGAAAGTCTATTCCGAAGCTAAGGATTTAATCAACAAATCTTTTCACGGTAAGAAAACTTTTTGCATATGCACTCAAAACTGGAACAGAATTCTACTTCGTATATCAAAACGTCAACAAAAATCTGCATGACAGCTTTTACTCTATGATGTTTCATCATTCCTTCAAATTCACTGGTTGTATAAAATTAAATGCCCATTTTTGGGTAATTTTAACTTTTTAGAGAGCAAAATGTGCATGAGAAGTGAAAACTAGGGATGATTTCCATACTAGGTTGATAGATTAAATTATTGACTGAGATAAGATCCAGACCCAGTTAACAAACAAGTCTTGAATGTTAGACCAGGCTGATAAACCAAGGGTCGCTGATTCGACAACTATAACTAACAAGTTTTCTTTACTCCACTCATCAGCCTTTGAAAATTTCAACTTATTAATTAAGGTTATTTTGGATTGATATCCAGCTAGTTAATTACCGTCTCTCTAATTTTCCTATCCTCTTACTAGAACGAAAAGCCCTGGCTAGGCATTTAATGCTAAAACTCCAGACATTGCTCATGAAGATCCTGAGACAATCTCGATAACCAAGCTGAACTTAAAACACTATTGTCGATCAATAAAGCTCAGGGTCCTCAATATATACGCTGGTGATTCCAGCAGCCCATTCAGTATTTTTCGTGGCAGGTTAGAAACTCAATACTTTCCTATATGAAAGACTATTATTCCAGTGCATGGGAAAATTTATTTCTTCAAGTGTAATTTTTGAACTGATTATCAACAAAGATGTTTGAAAGAGTAAAACGAGTATACATACTGTTTTAATTGAAACTGTTCAAATAGTCGTTGAAATTAAACAACATGGAGTGTAGGAAAAGCTTAATTAGAGTGTCTGCTATCATTAAAACAATAAGCTGAGATAATTAACTTACACCAGGTTAACTATACTAGGTTATAACATACAATTTCAAATTAACTTTGAATATTGATGATAGGATGTATTAATTTAGCATCTCATACCTTCATTTTTTGAACATTAGATTTTAATAGCGCACAATATTTTATTTATAAAGAATCCATCTTGATTATATGGATTATTTTAATTTTCTGTATTATTACTTCATATTTTATCATACAACTTCCTTTAGTGAAATAGCCCATTCAACCCCAAATGGACGTTTTCATTGGTTTCGTGAGAATGGTATCATAGAAAGTGATGATGTTCGCGTTCTGTTGGATGAAATAGACGAAGCGGTCAGCTATTCAAAACAAGCTCAGTTACTTGTAGCATCAATCACAGATAAACGAGTCGGATCAGAGTAAGTTGAGTCTGAATAAATCAAAAGATACATTTTAAAAATAAGTGGTCAATGTTATGAATTATTAAAAAGAGAATGAGTAACAGCTTCTCATGAAAAATAAGAGTAAAAAACTACTAATCGAAGAGAATATCGTAAAAACCAAGGAATAGAATGAGGGAATAAAATAATTTTGAAATAGAACATTGGAACACAATATACTTCTCGTGATATTATTCGGGGCTAACAAAGAAAGTTGACATACATCCAGACTGGGAATAAATAGTTAGTAATTTTTGACATGAACTTCATTAGGTGGTTTTGTTTCTTAGCACAACGATAATTATGACATTATCTTTCTATTAAATAAATAATCTTTTAGTTGAGAGATTTACGGGGAGTGATTTTACTCGGGACTGATTTCATTATGGAATAACATTAGCTAAGTAACCAGTGACAAATTGGGAGCACTGGACACCCGTTAAATTACACTATAAAACTCCTCTAAAATGGGTACCCATGGCCCATTAAACCTAAACTCTTCAGATCCATGGTGATACAGTATAAAAAATTGAGCAATAGAATATATATTAAATCACTCTAAATTGTTCAATGAATTGCATTTTAGATAATCATGGTCAGTTTGTACCTTAAAGCCTGTAAATGTTATTTTACAAGTGTTTGGATCATTTGTTAATTGAATTTGGGTTTATAACAGAATAAATGAACTAAATATAAATGGGATAAAGAAAAGGTTAAAATAATTGGACTTTGTGCTTGATAATAGATGGTTCAAAATGATCTTTAGAAGATCTAGATCTAGATTTCGTGATAGTGTGCATCTGTTCGTGAAAATTCCCTACAATCCAGAAGAGACTGATTCACTCAAACCCACGTCTTCCAGTACCATGGAGAAATCATCAGCTAGCCATACAAGTAGCTACTAGCCAGCTATGAGATTGAGATATTTAATTTAATCTCTTATTTTTCGAAAATTAATGTTCTCTTGCCTAGTTCTTATTCCTAGTATGTAATCTAAGCTCTGGGCTTCCTGTCAATCGTTTCGAAACACCTATCATCAAGGGAAGTTCATATCGTGGTCTGGTTACATAAACTGGTTGCAATATTGAAAATTGACTGGAGTAATTCTGTTATCAGTAAAGGTTAGACAATATGATATCAATTAATACTCAGTGATAACTGTAAATCTTGTGCTCTGAAATAAGATATTCCCGTTCCATATTTTTAATCCGTCCTAAAAATACAGTTACACTAACAAATTCTTGTTGAATCAAAATTACTTATAAATAATCAATTGGATTCTACAATGGTTACTTCTAATTTTCCATAAATATTGTTTACTTGGTCCGCTATAATATCTGTAACAATTCCCACAGCCTCAAGCTACCACAAATACAGCTGATAAACCATAAAACCAACATTCTATTTCTGAAGCATTCAAAAACACATTTACTTTAAACCAACGATTCAACTTCCGTTTACTTTTATGTTAATGTAATTTTTAATGATCGGATGCTTTTTTTTCTTTAAAAAATATCGAAATATTTAGAGTTAATTGGAATAAGTCTGATAAAAGCATAGTTTCAAAGAGTAGCAGTACGGCTAATCAATTAATGGGTGGGTGGGATCCTTCAAATCAAATTGAACCGCGTTTAAACTTATTAACATTGGCTAGGAAAGAAGCTATTGACGCAAAAATGAAAAGTATTACCACTGATAATGATTCACATCCAAAAGCTTTGACATGGTATCAAGAGATCAATAACACTGACAGGATACGATCTAATCCAATGAAAAGCAAAGTTTCTGGAAGAAAAAAATCTAATATCTTAGTAAAACCAATTCAAATTAAACGATTCAACTGTCAAATACCTACAGATGAAGAAAGAGTATGTACTTTTGAACAGTTGCTATATATGAGTATATATGACTATATATGAGTTAGAATCCTTTTACTATCACAGTTTGGTAGTAGTTACTTTTTTACTCGATAGTTAGTAAAATTCCTTCATATATAAATGGTTTGTAGCAAATTCTACTTGCCAATGCTGTCCTAGTTATTTTTAGTCTACTTCCTAGAAATACGCTACTTACAAATTTATTTCCTTTCATTGTCACAGATTTGATGACGGTTTTGTCCATATATCAGTAGAGAAATAAGTCTATTGTTTAGCCTCAAGTGATTCTACAGCATACTGCCTCAAAGTCAGTATTTATTAGGCTACTTCTAAGAACTAGCTGATACAATACTGAGAGTTATCTAGTTGATGATAAAATTTGAACTTCTGAACTATTTTATCATTATGTTCGAGTACAGTCACTGAAACAATACCACCCCATTAAATAACTGAGCATAAACATCATGCAATCCATATTAAAACGTTGGTATTGATTTCCAAGACATGAAACACAATCCCAAATATTTCGAACTGCAAAAATATTGATTATGGTTTTATACACCATAATTTGCAGCTTGGTTAACTAAACATTTAATTGTCATGCAGTAATTCTAATTTCAGATTACAATCCAGCTATGTTTACTTGAGTAGATGCTTAACCCCAACTATCCTGATTTCATAGTTGAGGTTTATTAGGTCACATATGAGCAACCAACACCATTAACTTCGGTTCGTATGCCTAGTTCATATTTCTGACCACTATGCCTTGAATATTCATCAAAACTGAGGACACAAACCTTTACTTACACACTGTTCCATTGGATTCAAGTCAGGATTCATGGCTTATTAACCTAGATATTATTGAAATTGCTTTTTTTATATTTATCATGGGCTGCTCTTTCCGTAGATTTGTGAATCATTGGAGTTTACACTTCTATATTTTTGTGTAAAGTTTTAAGCGAAAGCAGGTACCAATTGATTAATAAACATAATTCCTTGACGAAATATCCTCTGAACAAGTAATGGCGATCGCAACTCAATAGTCTAGTAAATTCCTCTTTACATTTTGAAATGATGGGTGCCGCTTTCTAATTCGTCTCTATCCCTATATATATAAAATCAGCTTTTATTATAGCTGTTTTTATTCGTTCTCTCCAAAGTCATTCTAATCTAGGACATACCTCATTGAAGTATTACAATCTATATAATATCCTTTTTTTAACAGATTTCTTTAAATTACTGAAACCATATAAAAAAGAAAAAAATATTACTGACTAGCTGTCAAGCTAATTTGCCTAAGGTTCTCATTAATATTGAATTATCACAAGATTCATACTCCTTTCAATGTTACACACGAAAATGGATTTGTTCATATTCTGATTTTCTTATGGTTATTTTTCATCAAAACCAGTATGTACTAATTGTACTAGTTGAATAAGATAAGTTCACAAGTCAGTCTATATTTTTATTTGTTTCGTTAATTTTGGAAAGCTTACGAGTCGTGAATGGCTACGTAAATACAGTATTCGTAGTTTGGGACTTAATTTGACGCGTCTCACATCTGGAATGGATTGCAAACATGAAATGTCTTTTGTTAATTCCACTCGAACAATGGTTCATGCACGCTATTGTAGCGGGTTGTTTCCTCTTGTAAATGTGGCTGGAACTCTTAGACATCTTCAGTATACCTTGGACGAACTAGAAGCTTTTGAACAAGAGGTCAGTTTAATATATATATATATATATATATATATATATATATATATATATATGCAAAGAATTATTTTTTTTAAGCTGTAAGATGTTTAATCAGGTGGTTTACAAAGATTTTAACTCGGCGACCGGAAAATCACATTCTCCCGGCGACTTCTGAAGATCGTGGGTGGATTTCGTGTTGTATTATGGGTGAGCACTGTTGATGAATCCTAAACTTGGACACAAGAACTATCTTGTACTCCCTAGTTTTCCATAGTTTTCTAGATAAAATCAGTCTATTATACCAACCTCAGTATGATATTTGGTTATGACATTGCCTCGTGGATCAAAAGCGAGAACCTTTGATCTCTCACACAAGAAGGGGAGTCACTGAAGGCAATGGGTAATGGTTGTACAATATCGTGGGATAATTAAAGTCAGACTTTTATATCACTTCATCATGGCGTAGTGGTCTTGAGTGTAAGCGTTCGTGTGAAAGAACGAAGGTCCTCAAATCTATCTGCAGTATCACGGTCGTAGAGGTAGACTGCTGCTTATCGAATCTAGATCGGTTCGTGATCTCAATAGCATTCACTATCTTCCACAATCCGATTCTAATAATTACTCATTTTTTATTGCATTCCTCGAAATTCTAAAGACATTTCATATTGAGTCGTTTATGTGAGAAACATGTCCTCTTATATTGGTATATGTAATACTAGTATTTTAACTTTTTATAAGCTTAGAAAATAGAGTAATAGTTATTGGTTTAGAGGTAGATTGGAATGAGCAAATGAGCGACCAAACAAAGAAATGGGATCAGTCTATGAAGTCCTTAGTCGTGGATTTAAAACGTCTAGAAAAGTAAACAGCTTCAGAGTAAGGTTCAAAGTGATAACCCAGATCAACCGTTAGAGATGATAGATGATATTCCTCAGAATAGACTGAGATGATGTAGATGAACTGATTCTGTTTATTTTTATTTTTACATCTTAAGTATTAATACCATCTAATGCCCTTTAATGACGTGTGATTTGACTGCCACTTGGATGAATGAATGAGAACCTATTTTTATTTTCTGACCGTATCATTTTTACTACTAATAATAATAATACTATTATTTCATCGCCTTGCTCATCCATCTTGCTAATTTCATATCTGTGTCCTAATGTCCCATGTTTAATTGGTCCGATACACAATTCTACGAGTTTTGACACTGTTCATAAATAACTAACTGACTGAAATAACTTTCCCTGAAAATTTTGTGTATTAGTTTGCAGTTCATATTTCCTTAGAAGTCTATGACATTGTAGCTGATCATTAAATACATAAAATTCCCTTTAGAATAACACTTTAAGTAAACATAACCTATAGAACTTAGATTTTTCAAATATGAATTAGTGTAGATTATCATTTTGCTGGTTGAATTGTATTAACTTAAAGGCAGGAAAATATAATTTATCACATTTAAATTCACTTGTTTATAGGAACAAGGTGTTTTTCAATATGGTTAGTTTTAGTAGTACATTACTTGAGTGGCAGGCTTCCGGTGTAGTAATGGCAGATGAAATATATTGTCATGATGCTATTGCATGGATTGATCAACTGAAGGCTACGGGTGGTACGTGTACCGGTGAAGCAATTCTGTGTGGTTTAAATCATTTACAAATTATGAATTCATCAAATATCAAAGAAATGCATGATGTAAACTTCAATGAAATGAGTAAAGGGATATATTTAATTACAGACGGTAAACCGGATGTTAGCTGTTCTTCATTGATTAAAAATATTAATGAAGTTTGGAACCTCACTCCTGACAGTAATGTTGACTCACAGAATACAAAAATAGCCAGAACCTCTAAAACGTTAAATAGCACAACAAGTAAAAAGGATAAAATCAAACATACAAAAGCTTCTAAATTGGTACAATTACACAAATGTCCACCAATACACACAATCTCTTATACAAATGATCAGTAAGTTTATATTATGTGTACACATTCTTCCTCAGTAGATTCTATATTTTGTTTAAGGAAATATGGGAATGATCATTTATTGAGTTCCTAGCTTCTGTCGATATGTGCATGAAGTTACCGAAGAGTATTGGTTACAAAGTTCCTTGACTATAGTCAACTAAGTGTAACCAAGGCCTGTCACATCTATTTTCAATAAGTAATACACTTAGTTAACTTTGCATGCCTAACGAAACGAAAAAGAGTTGAGATTAAGACGGATTTAGTAAAAAAATACAGGAAATTAAGGAAAATTATTCATTACTTAGATAATTTAAATGAATAGTCACTTTGGTGTTGCTGTATATGTATATATATATTGCACTTATTCAGCAGCAAAGATTTGATATAACAATACAATGATCAAACTAAAGAAATATACGTAGGTATGAAAGTGTGATTGCGACACAAACAACTAGTTAGTAGAAGATAAATTTTAAGTATAGGGTTGTGAAGAATGTTGATTTTCAATGAAACCATGAACCAATCAGTGTTAGACAACTTTTGAAAACCTGAAAGGATTAGAGTCTCATACTAAAACGAAGCGACTTTCCAATGCTTTAAAGTTTTCAATGGTGGTCTAGTACTGATCGGCTCACGATTTCGAGGAAAGTAAATCGTAGTACCATTTCGTTAGTTCAAATAACTAATTGACCTAATATATCCAAAATCCATAAAAAATCTTCACTAAGGAAACTACTCAAGATAGGAATGAATTATCTTACTATAAATCCCCTATGTCGTGTAAAGTATCTTGACATATCCTGTAGTAAAGAAGTCCCATTAACAATGTTTGAAACAAACATTAGTAATGTGATTGTTCTAGATTTAGCAATCGAATGATATGAAGCCTCAAACCGAAAGTTGATTGCCGTGTATATGCGGTTATTCTTAATTATCAATTAGGATAAGCTGATTTAGAAAAAAAGAGAAAAAGAAACATTTTAAGCGGTATTTTGTTTAAATCAGTTCGTTTATCATCTTTCATTTTTATTTGTTCAATTACTTTCTTTTAGAACTGCTTTATTATTTCTGAAAAAATTATCAAATTTAACTAATGGACGTTTTCACACATTTCTGGATATGACATCAACAATTAATGTGTTTTTAGATTATTTATTACAATCTTTATCTAAAATGAACACAAATGAAAATGATAATAGATCCACATATCAAAAAGATATTTTATCATTTCCTAATATTCAATCAGATGATATTAGATTAATACAGAAAGAAATTCGAACAACTTATAGAACATTGATTTGTCTAAAATATTTTCAAGATGTATATAAAGAAACAAAATTGCTTCGAAAGTAATAATCAATAAAATTGTGCTATTTTAATTCGTTTTAATACAATTTGTCTTAAATTCTATTCTCTAATTGATAAAGTCATTTAGGAGAGTAAAATCTGGTGCAAAATGCATCGGTTTAATTGTTGCACTTGCTAAAAATAGTAACTAACGATAAAATAAATATAAGAGGAAGGGAAAGTGAGTTGATTATTTTCAAAAATCACTGGAGTTAAAAACACGCTGTAGTATCTTAACATTTTGATACCAACTTAGTTAATCAAAAGTGATCTTATACTGTTTATATCATATTTAACAGGTCAATATTTTTATCAAACTAACTTCTGTATTGAAAATCTATCAGTGCACAAATTCTAGATAAATGTTCTTTGTTACTTGATTTTGAAGATTAAAGATTCTTTTATTTCTACACTAACGAATATTTTCTAATTCTCCGGTATTGAGATTACTAAAGATTACTATTATACTCCCTTATTGAGTCACATTTTTAAATAACATGGATACATTCTCCCATTAAAAGTAGAGTAGACTGAATCAACTAGAGATCTGGCTAATTACCATTATATATATAGAACAATTAGAAAAACAACATGAGATGAAGAAGTTTGGGTCCCAGGCCAGAAAAACTTTATATTCTTATAATTTTTCACAAAGAAAAATACACAACAATAAAGCATTTAAAGTATACAGTAATTGTAATAGTAATCCAGTACAGTAAATAGTGGCTTTAATTTCATGGTGTATATTTTCATATCTGGTAAATTTATGCGTTTTTCTACCCTGTAAAACCCTTTTGGTCGGAATTGAGGATTATTTCCGTCAGAAATTACCACTTTATTTATCTCAGTCACTTTATCTTTTAATCGAAACGATTAAAGATTCAAAATACTGACGCCATTGTAGCGATGGTAGGATTAAAGGCTCATTCGTTAAAATTTTAAGGGCTCTAAGTATTGTAAAATCGAAATAGGCTGATCAGTTTGAACTGAGTAAGTCACTTTCATGTAAAGAAGATTAGTCTACTAAGTTGCACATAAAATTCACAGTACGCTGATAGAACATTTAGTATCTTAAATAAACTATGTATTCTAATCAATTATCGATCCGATTGGACTGATGAGTTTAAAATTAAATTTATGAAAATTGGGTGTTCAACGGTTTCACAAATCGGTTTATTGTTGAGTAGTTCAAATCCATGTGAGTTATATTTATTTCAAAATTCAATGGTTTTGGGGTCTCTGAAAACAGTAGCATAATCGAGATAAACTTATGTGGCAAGTGGAATTTGCGGTAAATAACTATTTCAATTGTCATATAATTTAAGTGTTGCGTTGTTGTCTGTTTCAATTTTTGACTACACCATAACACAGACTATACTATTAACTTTAAATTTGGGACTTCTTTATTTTTTATCATTGTGTCTTGTTGATGTGCTACTGCATCATACCATCATTGCTATTTTGCAATATCACTTCATATCTGTAATTGATTTTACGCCAATCATAGATTCTAATGACATTAGAAAACTGATTATCGGTGCATCATCACGAGTAGTTGAACATTATCTAGACTCTTACCTTGACTCTTATTGCTGACCACGTAAACTCTAGAATGATAAATTTGCCATTCATTTTCTAATGTCCACAGGAAGAGAATCTCATAACTGGTTTAAATAACCCCATATTTGCTGACAAGCCCATTTTATCTTTGTGTAAGAAAACTAAAGTGGTTGCTTACTGAGTGTTCATATGATATAATTTAAAATATGTGAAAAAGAACAACTCAATAGATCAGCATGCTCTCCGAATCGAAAAATAAAAGATTTTATTCTACAGCTTCAAACTCAAAATTCGAAATGTAATTTTGGTGGACAACTAATTATTTAACTTCCAGACCTCCTGAATGCTAGCGTGACTTATCTCAAGCTAGAAAAGTGGCGTGTACAAATTCCTCCCTCTACTTTTCCAGTCGTTGAAATTTTCTTCTTTAATTACATGGATGTGAATATTGTTTCTATCAATACTGTTATGGCAAATGATGTGTAATTGCTGAATGTAAACAAAGTCTCAGAGTACTTCAAACAGAAGTCGCTTTGACTTTCTAAGAGGAATTCATGATTCAAAATCTACTTCAATGCATCAAAGTATAGTGGTGTTTTCCAAGTCTGTTCATTCGTACTCTGGTAGTCACCAATGGACCAGTATTCATTCATTACGTACAACAGTATCGTATTCCTTAATTCGATCCAGACTTGAGATAATGTATAAGGGAATTGCTAATTAGCACAAACGCCACATCCACCATGACTTAAATAGAGATCTGTAGTCTGTAGTACGAACTTGCCTTAGGTTCATTGAATATCTGACTGATTCCGTATTTGGTAAAGTAACCTTAGCGCCTTGATTAAACTCATAAGAGTCAGAATTAATAACAGAGATCAAAACTGATACTTTTAACTCCGAGATATGTATATAATCGTTTCGGCCGTCATCTTTACCGACCATATCCAATCAAAAAGGTTTTTGCTGAACAAGTTCTGTTCCTATATTTGCTATATGAAAATAGATTTTTCTGTTCTGTATAAATTTTCGATGGTTTGAAATACCCAGAATAAATAGTAAGTCTTCAACACTTATTCTGACCTTGCTAGTTTGACTGGACACATCCCTGGATGCTGATGACTGGTCATATATCTGCGCCAGATCATATTTGAATATGCTGTGCTGCGTATCTGTTACGACAATTAGTCATTTTAGGTTGTATATACTCAGACATATTGCAAATTGTGCAGATATATCATCGCTTCCCTACATTCTCGACTTCTGGTTAAAATGGCTTTGAGATCATCATGTAAAATTTTTTGGGTAGTAGTGTTCCGAATAACTGTGTCCGTGACATCTTCAAATTCATCCACTCCCTTTACTTATTTGAATTTTGTATCAAGAATGAAACTGCTTACAAGCTTTACGAACTTGTGTCTCTTGTTTAAGTAGGAATGCTATGAAATTATAAAAAACTCTTCCACTCTGAATCTATACTGATAACGTTTTGAAACAAACAGTCGAGATAATCTCTAATAGTCGATAAAGGAAACTGTACATGAAAAATTCGTAAATTTTGTAATCTAAATACGAATGGTCCAGTCATAGCGACTAAAAACATTGTAATTCGATTGTGAACTATTTCCATCTGCATACAGTACTGCATTGTACAGAAATGTGCCTAGACCGTTGAGTTTGTTCATTGTTCAACATGCCTAGAAAATTTACGGATCAAAAGAATGATGACTTCGGATCAGCAGCCAAGGAAATAGATTTACGAGCAAACGTGTAATAAAACTAATCACACAACCCGACAAATAGGACTGAGCTAATCAAGTTAGGTGTTACACGCTTGATCTGAGCATGGCATCGTGTGAACTTTACCCGTGTATATCAACCACGGCACGAAGCTTATTTTTTACTGTATTCACTAGTCGGAAATTTCGCTCTAACTTCTGACGCATATGCTTTCGGGTTAGACGCAATTCTAAGGTAGAGTTGGAAGTTTGGCCCATTACAACCAAGTAAGGATGTTTTTAAACCTATAAGAATATTTTAATAGTTGTGTTTTCAATAGGCAAAGAGAGCAACTACTTGATTAGCAAAAACTGTCATACTGTGATTGACGACCAAGTATTGAGGTTGACTTAACACCTGACTGAGTCACTTCATCAGTAGTGTGCTGAGATAGTCTAGAAAAAGAACTGGGAACTGGATAGCTGAGAGAGATGCCAATAGCTGTGAATGAAAGATGTCTTTTAAGTCGGGCTGGATTAGATAGTGTAATCTTCAGGTTTTTTGCTTAAGTCCCACAGTTGCCGTGTTGAAATATTATTGGATGCTAAAGAAACGTTCGTTTAGCTGAAAAACCCTGTGGGGATAGAAACTTTATGCGACAGTTCTGAGAGGACAATGATTCGAAGGGGACAATCTATGAGCATGGAATGACTATTCCACCATTTGAGACCACGTACTTGTCAATCTGTGACAACCCCACCTAATGCCTTGCTAAAACCATTTGATTCAAATATACCAGACATTCTAGAAGTAATGTGTAGTGTTTTTAGGTTGATGATTTCCTGATATCATTTGAGGAAATTAACGAAACAAGGGTTTTTAACAAAAGTTCTGGCCACATTTTTGAAGGTAGACCTTGAATTAACGAGGTTTGTATCCAAGTGTATTGTTTCAATTGAGGGAGTTGAATTGCAATATCAAGCGTGTAAAAGTGGGAAATTTTTCAGTATGACTATCCCAAAGTAGCGTCCCTTTGGGTTCCAGTAGAATACAAGTGGTGTTATGTTGAGCTTCACGGTGCATAAGTCTGTTGAATCGATGGCATAACTGTTTTGATCGTTTAACACATTTTACACTTCAACCCCAACTTGTGCTCCAAGATCTGCACAGGACTAAACTAGATTAGGATGAGCCTATCACTGCATACTGATCCACTACTAAACAAAATGGGTGAGCCTATTTGGGTTCTTTACACAAACCGTTCATCCCACCTACCCTAAAATAAATTGTACACTATTAGTGGATAAATTGAGTATCCTTCGCGATGCCATGGCAAATATAGGGCGCTGTTATGTATTTTTGTTAATAATCGAGTGATCATATCGCTGATGGAATGCTGCAAGAAAGTCTGTAGGTACTGCACTAGTAGTGAATCACGAACGGACCCTTTTTTATCAGATGCTTGTACATACATTGCGGGAATCATCTGGCTACATCACGAGGCATGCTCTAACTTGGAATTCCGAAGGAAAACGGAAAAAGGGAAGATCAAATGATGCATTACACTGGGAATTGGTGGAAGACATCTAAATGTAAACAACTAAAAAGATTGCGAACACAAGTTCCAGCCAGCTTTAGAATTAAATACGAAGTTTTCAAGAAGGGAATGATAGTGACAAAGTGGCTGGAGGCTGTATAGGATTCAGAACAACCAGTTTCGTAATGATGCAGTAGATGTTGGCACCTACTCCGAGCTAACGGTTAGAAGTAGATGATTTTCAATTTAATTGTGTTAGAGTTGGTGCGTTTTTGGTCGTTTGCTGCTATTTTCGAACGCTGCACCTGAAATCAGTATGGTCTTATGTTTATTTATTCAGAAATAAGAGCAGCCAATTTAGAAACAGTCCATAGATTATCGAATTTCATATTCATGCTTGTTACAGGAGAACTGAAGACATTTGGCGGATTAAAACCTTTTTATTGTACATTAATAGTTTAATGTGTTTTTGGATGTATTTGTTTTACTTAACTTTTAAACTCGTTTGTTTATATCACTATTTCGGACATTTTGGTTTCCCTTTGTCGTTGGTTTGTTATTTGGCAGTTTTGCTCCAGGAACCCACAAAATTGAAGGTTTGCTTTGTAATTGCTATAATTAATGTTGTTAGAACGACATTTAGTCCACTATTTGTGAATTGCGAATAAATTTGGTATCTAAATTAGAGTTTGGTCCTGTTGTTAATTTGGGTTCGTAATTTACAAATAGATCGATAGTCCGTACTTCAGTAACTGGAACGAGCGAAAATTGGACGTAACAATGCTACCCTACCTATAGTTTGTAATCCGGAGATGTGTGGTGGCATTGGGCCACACAGTCTTCAAAGCTGAAACGAGACGACCGGGAAAAAATATTCAACATTTAACGCGGGGAAAAACCCAACAATGGAGGGCGCGGAAACAGCAAAATAGGATTAAAAGTTGGTGCTCAGGTATATAACTACCCGACAGGTGCAAGACAGTTGGAAAGGACAAAAGAGAAACGTCCATTCTGGAGACTTAGTATGAGTAGGTGGTAGGTCAAAATCAAACATGGGGTCACTTGATATAATACATAATATTAATTTCAGTCAGGACAGGCCTGTGAGAGCAGTGTATTTGAAAAATTAGGACACAGACTTTACGCTCTTAGATAGTCCAGCTTCTGATTACAACACCCCTTGATCGGTGCCAAAATTCAAATAACATACAGAATCACCAACAAACGTTCCAGAACATTCCCAGGAATTTTGACAGATGACTACTGACATTAGACTCTGAATATGACCCAACGTTCACGTCACAAAGCCTATCAGGTATAAAGGCAACAGAATCATTAACATCATTATGATGCACCGTCTTAGTAATAATATTTTATTTCCATATAAAAATGTTACAGGAGGCATACCAGTTTACAGGCTGGATGAAAATTCTAAAAACGTTACTTGCTTCACTGTAATAAGTTGCTCATTTAGGTTGGTAAGTATTGGGACAGAAACAAGAGATAAGTTTGCTCACTTAAATATATGAATGATGTTATGATCAATAATAACTTGTAGCAGGTCACGCCATCTTTACAGGCATAACCAATAATCGAAAACATGGGTTTACAGATAAGATACCACTTAGATAATATTGTTATGTACCAACGAAAATTTATAATGGTAAGTGTTGGGATCCACCAATGAACTAATTCTACACATATATTTTTATTATACAATTGTCAAGTAGCTAAACTATATACATTCATATTTCTCTTATTGTAAGCTCTTATTGTAAGCTTGATTTATAGACCATTATTATGCGCTTTGCCACTCTTAAGTTATGCCCAGTTTATTAATTATAGTCTCCCGCAATTACAACCACCTTCCGGTTTGACCTTGTACAAATGTTATGTTCTATTTGTGATGTGATGTGTTCTCTTTGGCTTCTATATAAACCCAGTATATTTGAAATGTATTATTTATATCGCGGAAGCCGAAATTGAACTTGACAGGTAGGGAATGGGACCAATTGTAACTCTAGGTCGTTCGCCAAGGAGTGGGAGACATTTTTTGGTCGTATAAGTCCGCATGTCTAAATTTGACAGTCGTATTCACCGAATCATATAAGTTGTGGACATAACAAAGGTAATTAAATAAATAAAAGCAGTGAAAAATTTTGAAAGGATAATGATTCAGATAAACCATACATTCACCATTTGCTGACTCGGAAAAAGCTATATAACGTCAAGACACAGTGTCTCTACTTGATCCAGAACTTTATTATTTTTAGAAAATCTGGTTCAAGTTTATCGAACGACGATAATTGGCAACAACTTTCGAATAATGATGCATAGAAACGTACAAACTTGTGTAGAGATGGTATTAGGAAGTATATCTAGGTACGAAATAAGTAAAATATATCTGGAAAACATTTGTTCATACAGGTACAGTCGCTGACAAAAACAGTGCGTAGTTCAACCAATCTTCAGGCAGAAAAAGCCACCCTAGCAATCCAAGACAAAGGCATAGCACTCTGAGTTGACAGAGAAATGAATATTCAGACTATGTACCGATGTATAGGAAATGGAAATCAAAGACTTTAATAAAACCAAGGAGTTGAGTATGACTCAAAATCTGTAGAATATATATCAGTAACTGCAAACAAACTAAATTGTGGACATAATGTAAGTTAATACGGTGTGCAATGTTAGCATCAAATTTAAAAATAATGAAGAAATAACTGTATTTGCAATCTATGAATGATAGAACTTTCACATCCAAACACACACACATGAATACTATAATAGTCGCTGCAAATAACTCATAGCCGGTTGATCAGGATACGTGATTAAGATCTTTGATTGCAAGGAACCTCAAATTAATAACAAACGTTAGGTTTTACTATTAGAAAATGTCGTCACTGCGCGTAGGGAAAATGCCATTTGACCAATACGTGTAATCATTAAATTAAGGAACACTGGTTCTTACTGATGATAACGAACGACAAAACTGGTTGCCAAACCAATGGTAAAAAATAAATGATAAAAATCAAAGTCATGAAAATATTACCAACAATGTACGACGCTACAAATCGGTAATAATGTGAACTAATGTGCGAGTAAAGACTCCTGAATTTTGCCACTCGAACACTTCCCTCTACGTATCTATATTCAGCCACAGTTGACGTATGAACGCCAAATCAATAAATTTCATCACTGCCGAATAATGGATAGTACTGCCAGTATGTTTACTCCTTGAAGAAGACTCAAAGCCATATCTGCTGTCAAGTAACCTTACTTGCCTGAAATAAATGCATCCACTTATAATTAGAACATCCTCAAATATCCGACAAATTCACTATAACTGGTTCAGTTGAGAGGCTGATGTAATCACTGGACTTTACCAATGACCAAAAAGTATCCTGATTCAAGAACACAGAACAAGGCAGTCAACTGATGTACATTAGCTTGTTACAAGGGTATTTCACTCTAATTTGCAAGGAAAATGGTATGACGGATATGAACTTTTATAGATCAGGAACATCTCTTCCAAACTTTTCGGAAACACTACAAGTGAAGGTTACACATGAGAGCAAACTGTTCTGTGGTTTGAAGCTAGGGTTTACAAAAGACAAACACTGATTTACAGCTATTGTGTTAAAGTAATAGAGCTAGACACCAATCCAACATCATGCACCGATTCCAGGTCACGCTAGGTGTTTCAACACCCTAGCAGGCCGTCTGTTATACAAGAATTCTCAAACTCTGGGACCAATGGGATACGAATACTTGCTAGTTAAAAGGGTTGACATTTACAATGACAGTTTATAACGAGTTAAATAATTCGAGTTTCTCCAGCAACACCTAACTACCACTGATGATATTAGGGGTGGGTTTCGCCGAATAATTTCTTACCTTGCCAAAATAATACTTGAAGGCTGAAACAAAGTGCACTCAAGATGAACAGTTTCAGCATTTTGAGTACCATACAGATCCACCTCAGATCATCAACCATCAATTGTGTCAATTGACGTCCTCTTAGAAAATCTTGTTCCAACAGTCTTTGGTTGGAAAAATGAGGTACAAATATTGATAACCATCAAGTAAAAGAATTACCACCAGAATCTCTTGAAAAGATATGTTGCCGAAATATAAATAACCGTACACAATCCAACTACGAGGAATACCAAACCACATAATTTGTACTAACGACCACAACAAATGATGTGCTGTCTTGTGGTGGTCATCTCTTGATAGCCTCGAAATAATGTCGCTTTGGTTTTTTAATAGCACTTACTCGAAAAAAGCTATCCGGGAGTCACAGTTCAGGCATATCTAATTCGCTTAGATTGAAGACAGGTATGTTGATGCCTGGGTACCTGAGACATTTATGCCTTTCTTGAAACCCTCAGACTTGTCGTATCTCCTATCCCGAGAAGAGTTTTGAATTTGTAAGAATAAGAAAAAAACGAACTTACATGATAATCGTCACAGAAATCCACGAGAACCTCCAAAGAATACTTCAGTGAATAAACCTACATATGAATTCTTACCTACCTGTTAACAAAAAGGGGCATTTTGATCATTCTTTCTCAGCAGATGCCTCTTTCAGAATGTTTGTAAACCACTGGGTTTGAGTCCATTGTTCATTTGATTTTCTAAAATCACATGTGTTCAACAGCGGTATATAGGATGGCAGCGCCAAATAACGAGACGAAGGGCGAAAAAGGTTTTTCCGATGGTTTTCTGGAGTGATAATTGTTCTCAAATAATATTCACAGTGTTAAAATAGAGGAGAGAGTTTTATATGTTGGTTATTGCCATTTAATTGTCATCGCAACATACCTAATGGAATAAAGTTCAAACACAAGTTGACGCGGCTAGTCTCGAAGTTTTAATTACATTTTTGCCTAGTGTTCCGACTTTTACGGCTAAAAGGTCATTGAATCAGATATTCGGGTCCAACGAATTTCAGTCCCAATGTTTATGTTTCTCTAGGTACGCCAAATTAGTAATCCTACTCGAAATAGTTGGCTGAACTGTCATCGAGTTAACAAAGCTGTACTTTACTAGAATAAAATGCAGATATCAATTCAACACCTTAATTCACTTACACAGGAATGTCCGACTTTCCCATTTTGGCCAAGGTGTCGTGAGCTTTTTGTGGCATAGTATTGTCGCTCCACACTGGTTTCGATGAAAATATATTTAGGAGTTTGCTTTTCCCATGATATAAACTGTGATTTTCTGCCTTTTACTAACAAAATAAGAAAAGCCATGAAAAGTTTCCTTGGCCACACTTATTCTTATGGTGTAGTTCTAATTGCAAATCAAGTTTTTGTCTGCTCAGTCACGTTTTGTAAGAATCCTGTCCAAGCATGTGTACTGTTCCGACCATTTCTGTTGTTAAGGACATGTGCAGACTTTTAACCTTACGGCAATATACGAAGTATCCATAATGAATACCAAGTGTATTCGTTGTTTTTCTGGACAGGTAGCCAATCCTGTGTTGATTCTTTGGCACATTCTATGCCGTAAATCTGACTACCAGCTTTGAGTGATTTGGTTTAAATAAGTTTTCGGAAATGAAACATTTTGTAGATATACTTTTTCATCAAGCATTCCTTCGATATCCATTTGGTGTTAGTACATTCTATTAACTTCTGCATCCGAATATTAGCTGTTAACTTCGAAGACTGGCATTCCATACAGTATGCTTGTAGAGTTTTGTTGTATTTTGTAATAGGACATGTTATGGCTTAGTTTCATAAATTCATGCAGTACTTTGTTTGGACTCTCTTCCCAACCTAATTCTATATTGGTCTGCATAATGCGCTGAAGCAGGTGATGGCCAGCAATTTGAATACATGTTATAACTACCTCGTTCTATGGAAGTTTACAGCCTCATCTGCTGAATTGACATTGACCAGCGGTGAAATAGTAGTATGCCAACTGATTTTGCATTTTTTCTCAGGAGACTACTGTTCAACTTTTTCAGCACAAATAACTGCTGAGGAGTGTAGCTGGGCCCAGTTAAACCACATTTATTGTTTGTCTGGTTTAGATAAATCGCTCCAGCTTCCGTCTTTTTCCTCAATAGTCATTAGTGGTTAGATTTAAAATTCCATTTCTGAAGAGTTTAGACGGTTAGCGAGCTTCAGTAGGATCAATTTGGTGCATAAGAGAAGTAAGTAAGCACTGGTGTAGAAACAAAAAAATCACAACATCTCGGTTATGATGTAGGGAATGACTGTACATAAATACTCCATGTAAACACCAGTGAGCAGTAAGTTTCTCGCGATGTCTTCCAATAAGTCTTTGCCTATGAACTTAGTCGTTCGTTTACTTATCTAGTTATACGTCCTTTTGTCGACGTAAAGCTCCTAATTTTTCACTTATTTAAACATTTTTACCCGTGTAATCACATCCTCTCTTAATGATTATTTTCGACAGTGTTTACTTCTGACCCCAACTTATTCACAATCATAATCACAAAACTGTATAAATATCTATTCACTCTGTATGTCTATTGATATAAAGAAACTAAACTTTTTCTATCGTGATGCATAAAACATGCATGGTGTTCGTCACGTTTTTTTAAACATATCCACCTCTTTCTACGTCTATTCATACCTTGTTGTTCCAAACAAAACAATTCTACATCGGAACATATGTTTGCTTAGTGTAAATAAAATGGGTCTGCAAACTCTTTGATTGGATTTTAGGATCAGATACTAATTAAGTGGACTAAGTTTCGAAAATATCAAAACTGTAGATTCTGAGCATAATTCTCGTGGTTTGTAGTTTGCTTTTATATCAATCCTTATGTAACTTCATACGTTTAGTGATACTTGGTGTCAATTATGCTTCTTATGTTATTATTTGGATTTACAGTTTGTGTTCCACGAAATTTCTATCTTCTTGATGAACTTGAGCAGGGACAAAAGGGGTCTCAGGAAGGTAGTATCAGTTGGGGATTAGAAAATATGGCTGATGCAACACTTACCAAATGGAACGGAATGATTCTCGGTCCTACTCGAACTCCTTTCGAAAATCGTATTTATGATTTGCGGATCGAATGTGGACCAAAGTATCCAGATATCCCTCCAACAGTTAGGTAAGCTGACATTCGTTGATTGCCATTATAGTGACTTTTTTATAACTTTGCAGCAGCTTTTATTGCTACTCTAAAGTACACATATATGTTTGTTGGATGTAATTCAAATAAAGTTTATGCTCATGTAGTATATTGTACTGTTTTTTTTCTATCAAACAAATTGAATTATCGACAGTAAATACACTCATTTTGTTTTCATTTAGGTTTGTCACTAAAATACGTATGCACGGAGTAAATGAGAATACTGGTGAAGTAAGTTTATGCATATATCCATCAAGTTTGTTTTTCGTTTTAAGTAAGAAAATATCTATTGTATTAACGAATATTCCTAGTCGAATGTAATAGCTCCTTGAAAACCTAATGTCTTGCATCCATATCTGTTATTAATTCAGCTACTAATAAAAGATTTTTGTCCTCAGAATGCTGATTTTCATAGAAAGGAACTTTGACTTAATGTACATACGTACCAGGTTTTACGTTACAACTGACTGACTGAACCTTGGCTTTTGTTAGCTTCGTAGTCAAGCCCTACAAAACCACCACACAACATTGTCATTCGATATTGCCAACAAGCTTGTGTCACCGAAATTCCCTATAGTACTTTGTCTTTCATCGCAAATGGTCATTTCACGAAATCCGTAGATTGAAATAATCATAACCTAAAAAATGTTTGAGTACTTATTAATTTCCTGTTTCTCTAATCTCTGTCTCTGACAATATGTAAGCTGTAAAAAGTTATCTCCTCTGTTCATAATAACCAATGCTGTTAGTTTCTGTATTTTAAAAGATAATCAAGATATTATGGCTCTAAGTATTGTTACGAAAATAACCAATCACAGAGTAATCAGGACAAATTTACTTAAGACTTGTGGAGTTACTAAGAAGCCCATTGCTACATGGATTAAGCGTTAATGATGTTGTCCACAACGACAATACAAACTTTGCTACTAAGCCACTTAACTCAGAGAATTCAGAAGCACCAAAATTACCCCATTTTCTTACCAATAAAAAGCCGAACACGTATAAGCATTATATGTGTGATCTTTGTCTCATTAGTCGTTAATGCGTATCAATTCTTATATTGCTGTCAAAGATTATGCTAACCTTATCGTAGCTACGGATCGGACATAATATACTAAGAAGTTATTGATACTAGTTAATTCACATTTCATCTTTAAATTAGTGTGTATAATATGTTATTAAGGAGACGAGGTTTGGATTTGTGGTGAGCGCATTTTTTTCGAATTAACGAATGAGATATTGGTAGTTATAAGATACATAATTTTGCAGTGTTGTCAGGTGATAACAACTAACTAAAATGAATTGTTGAAACGGGCCTTCGAATGAGCCAATAATTCAGGATAACATAGTAAATCTTATCTTAACAATTTTTTCCTGTTCGATCGTTAAATCGTGTACAGCTCATATAGTTCTGAATTCATTTTTTAAACAAATATGCGATCTATCGATATGTTGGATAGACACAAAATTACTTTCATAAAATCGAAAATACACGACAACCGGTTTCATATTTAGTAGTTATCTTTTAATTATAAGCCTGTTAAAACCGTAATATACATTCATATTCGTATCGACTTTTTAGGTTGATCCTCGAATGTTCTCTACTCTGTCTAACTGGACTCGTGGATACTGCATACGTCATGTGCTACTGGATGTCCGCAAGAAAATGTCTGCATCTGAAAATTCAAGACTTGCTCAGCCACCAGAAAATTCCACTTTCTGATTCATTTTCATCCGTTTGTTCGCTAGATTTTCTAATAGTAGACAAATGGATGATATTTCTAAAGTTATCACTTTCCTTCCTAAGATCCTCATTTTGGTACAATGAAACTGTTCAAAATTCTCTCTATCGAGATCCCTGTATTGGTCTTTCCCTCAGCGGTCTTTATGTATCTATACTTGTCTGGCTTTTAAATGCTAAATCTGTTGTGAAGCTTATTCTGTACTGTTGGATAGTTACGGTTGCAATATTTTTATACCAGTAGACAGTTTGTTGTTTTCTTTTCGAGTCCCGGATTAATCATAAACTTAGTCAAGGAATTTGATGTATTTATGCGATGCATATGAAAGCTATACTTTTCGCTTATACGGTGAAAATCTTGTTTTCAGTTATCGCTTTTTGCAGCTATCCGCCAACTTAAGATGGATCATCTACGGATTGTGTGATTTGCTGATTATCAGTCTAGACTCTTCAATAGTTTTGTATTCACAACGCTGGCTGTTTGATTTACATCTTTTCGTTGTGCTTTGATTTTTTATGATAAACAAGATAACGTTTTTTAACCCATGTGTTTCACTAATTGCTTAGTTAAATCCATTTCTTTGTACAAAATAATTAGTCAGGTTTTGCAGCTTCATGAAGCCATCCGTGGATGTTTTTTATCTTTTATATATATAACAGCTCACTTGTCAACTGGAAGTTGCAATAGTTCCCCCAGTTTTCGAAATTTCGACGTTAATGTGGTTACAAATGACTAGTCGCCCATCGTAACCAACATTTTCCCCTCTGTGCGACTAATTTCATATCATGTTTGTCATCGATATTATGATGTTTACAATCTTACGAGTTTTGTAGACGATGTAGAGTACAATGTATTTGTAATGCTTTCAAAAGTAACCCTTAGTTCTTGTCAAAGGTCACTAACGGTTTCGTTGAATACCATATATTTATACGATTAACAAGCTTAATGAATCAGATCGAAATGCTTATAGTGGTGGCAATTGCTAGATTTAACAGCCACTTTAGTTCTATTAACTGGTGACTAGGGAACATATTTACGCAGCGTTAACTTATCAAGTGGGTTTATTCAACTTCGTTCACTTAAAAAATGGCGAGTAGGGTACATCTGGGAATTCTATACGCTATTTATTGCATAACCTCGATAGTGATTCTCCATAACACTATACCGTTGCTTGTGCGTTCATATTTTCACCAAAGTGGCTTAACCTTCTTGTCTATTGTAGAGTGACCAGCTGGTCTCTTCATGTAAGTATATCGTCAATATCTAGATGCAAGATTACACATCACGGCTCACTAGTTACGCCTTATATTCGCATCCCAAATTACTCGTTGCCTAAATATTCAGGTCGTGGTATTCGTATGATCCAGGGTCTCTTAATGGCATAGTTGTACTCAACCAAGTACTACGCATGTAAGTGGATGCTGAATTGTCTACTTTATTTGAATTTCAGTTATCTGGGAAGAGAGTGCTAATTTAGTCGGTAGTATATATTATAACCACTTGTATGTAAATATTAATGCTACTTATAAGTTCGTACTACTCTTCGACCAGTATATGTACTTGAGCATCCTTTGGTCGTGACTAAGATCTGGTCTCTATATGCTGTAGATATTGCTCATCATCAGGACTATCATGATATATAACTTCACCTGGGATAGATAATATAATATATATGAATTATTACCTAGTTGTGCAATTTTTTAGGTATTCATCTATTTTTGTAATCCGTCAACAACTGCATCATTTGTGTACCACACTGTCCAGTCCCTACCACTTAGTTCACCACATTACATGATACCCGTTTCCTCTGATATGTCTGTCCTGTTTCCCATCGTTTGCGTTATCACACCTGAACACCATGGGACGAGCGTCTCCACTGTCTTATCCAATAATTTCCAGATTCTTGAAAGGAGGTGCTATTAAAATGACGTACGCAATTATTTACCTGCATGATTTTTCGGCAAAACGTCGAGTGAACTACTCACCCGAGAAGGTGGTATCTAATTTCGTATCAATAACACCGAGAAGAGGAACGGCGGATCACATTTGAGTTCCATGTAAATACTAGTTTGTTCTCAGAAATCAACAACATTTCAACAAGCACGTTACAAAAATGTTGGTCCTCTATTGTTTTATATCCCGCACAAGTTTAGTATTGATGACTAAATATACAGATCTAGAATCTAAATAATATAAAAAACCACGAAATTTTGAATATATGTGTCACTCAGCACGACGCAGTAATATTGTTCTAGCGTGATACTCAAAGAGTTAAGGGAAAATGCTGCCACCACATAAGCTCATACTAAATTATATATCACTTCAGAAACTATTGCGACAACTCCCACCCACACCGCGTATAAGAAACCATCTACATCGATGCAATTATAAGCTGGATTGCATTGAACGGACCTAAGCGAGACTGTGATTGCCACCCACACTGATCCCTCTCGTTTTAGAAGACATAGTATGACCTGCTCTCGACCGCCCACATCATATTCCTGGTAGTCCAATCAAGTCAGGAAATTGGGATCCAGCTCTCATACATGAAACTCCTTGAAGTCATTTACACACGAAGCTCCCGGTTACTGCTGAGCAAGTTGTGCATTCGGCTTGAAACTAACAACAGGTGAAGACAATACTGACTGTGCAAACAAGGAAAAACCTTCAAACCACGTGTGACAATCGAGTCACAATATTGTGTACGGCAACTACCTTGTGGTAGATGTCCTGACTACGCTCTCATAGTGGCACCTAAAACACACAAACGCCGGCCGTGACATTTACCAACAAATACAGACATCTACATGTACTACTATTGTCTGCTTGTATTCGGACAAATAAATGGACGCCCATCCCGTAATAATTGCCGTAGAACAGCAGGTGCGAGTACATAAACGACAACTTATACCTTCATTAATCTACGACCGCTTAGAAGACACTACACTTTCGAATAGGCATCACTACGGATAGACCTTTACACTCCGAGCTACATGTCTCAAATATAAAGGGATCCGACATACTAATAAGTCTGATCTTGATAGTGCGCTCTTATTAATGTCACGTTAGGCAAGTATTTAGACCATTACGAGATGAATTCATCTCGTAAGGATTCTTAAAAATCCTTACGCTTAACAGAAGACATCTTGATCCCCGTCTACGAGTATAAAACGAACAAGAAATTAAGTTAACATTTATTAGAATGAAATATTAGGCTCTTTCTCCTCGAATACGACGGGCCAACTGTATATCCTTTGGCATAATTGTTACTCTTTTAGCATGAATTGCACAAAGGTTAGTATCCTCGAATAGACCAACCAGATAAGCCTCACTTGCCTCTTGAAGAGCACCAACAGCAGCGCTCTGAAAACGTAGGTCCGTCTTAAAATCTTGCGCGATCTCGCGCACTAGTCTTTGGAAGGGCAACTTTCGTATCAGCAACTCAGTGGACTTTTGGTAACGACGAATCTCTCGTAAAGCAACGGTTCCTGGACGATAGCGATGAGGTTTTTTAACACCACCCGTTGACGGAGCAGACTTACGTGCAGCCTTGGTTGCCAGTTGTTTTCTCGGTGCTTTACCACCAGTCGACTTTCTTGCGGTTTGTTTCGTCCTAGCCATTTCTTCAAACCAAATCGCCAATCAAAATGGTGGGAGTCAAGCAGCCGCTTAAACAACGGCAGCTGATTGATGCCTAAAGTGCCAAATCGATTAAAAACGCTTCATCATTGAAAAATTAATTTATTGTGTCTTCAGACGTCTACATGTATTTTACAGTACACTATTTTACTCAGAAATTCAATTTAATATACTTGGTATTCACTCCTTATACGAACTTTTACAAAGTAATGGAATTCATTCTTTTGGCAGAATCATCATTGTGTATTTTGGATAGTACTGTGTATTGTCCTGCTTCCTTTGTGGAAGTAATCCGCTAAGTGACGGTAGATAGAATTTATTTTTCAGTGTTCCACGAAGACGTTTCCAGAAATTAGAAGCTTGATAAGTATATATAACCATCTACTTCATCCTTATAGTAAGATCCACACTAACAAGTAATGAAGACGATCTGATGGTAAGACTTTCTTTAAAATAAGTAGCTTTCTAGGCGTTCAGAATTGGTGCTGTTCTTGCTATTTTTAATCGACAATAGCTATTTCAAGGCACTCAGTTTTAATGGCTCGAGATCTGACTCCAATTAGATCGTACGAATGATTGTTATTGAATGGTTGCTGTCGAACTGTATATGTTGCCCATCCTCGTATATAATCATCAACTTAAATCGCGTTAGTCAATAACGGAATTAAATAAGTCAAATAACGAGAATGGAATTTTGAATACATATATTTTGTATGTGGAGCGAATGGGATAGAGCGAAGAGAAACGACGCGCAGTGGAGATGACGGGTAAGCTAACTCCATAAGAGCACACACATACGCGCTCATTTAAAAACAGTCAAGATTGATAAGCGGATAATTAACAAGATCAACATATGACTCAAGTAGAATGAATAGATTAGCCTGTCCGAAAACTAGAATAAGGTATATGGGCTTAACACGTCAACTGACACTACACGGTGACGCATTGTAGCTGATCAAACTGTCTGACTGTAATTTAGATTTTCAGACTCTTGTTCAGATGCTTGTGTCATTTCCAATTAATATCTATTGCTCTCTTTATTGAATTTAAATACATTTTATATGCCGTTTAGGTCGTCAACTCACTAGCTCTTTTGCTTCTCTCTTCCAGCCCTACTCACTTATGCTACTCTGCATGTGCCTCAAGTACACAAATTTCCGTCTGACTAAACGCGATCCACTACAAACATCAACACGAGATCACTACACGACTTGTCTAGAAAAGCTTCTTTCTTTCTAGCCACCTGAACTGAGAGTCTTACATTACGCTGATTCTGCCTACATTCGGATACATCGTCGCTGGCACATATCCATTTCTTGCTCCCAGCTGTTTTTCATATGAT